CAGCGGCCGAGGCGGCGGCACCCCCGCCGGGACCCGGCCCTCCCACCCACCGCCAGCACGGGGGCTCGCACCGGGATTTCTGTTTCATTTCGTTTTTGCCAATCACACTGTGTTCTGATTTTCCGGCCAATTTTAAGTAGCTGATGTTTTGTTTGGCTGCTGTTTTATTTGCTGTCAAAAAGAATTTGATGCAGAAACCATTTAAGCATGTATACAACCCATGGAGGGATTCATTTGACCTCATTATACTGCAATAAAGAAGAAATCCAGTTTGTTAAATATCACCGAACCGCATGCATTTCACATCAGATCATAAGAGTTATGCTTCAAAAGATTATTCCAGAAAGTGCTTGGGAAGACGGAACGGGTTAACTTTACTTGCCAGAAGGTGTTCTGACAAACACAGGAAAAGAGAGAGAGATGCAGCCCCCTTTAAGAGCAGAGCAACTGAAGAAAAAAGAGATTTATGCTTTTAATTAATGGCAATTAAACCATGCCTGTTGGCTTGGCCTATGGCAATTGTTCCCTGCAAAAAGGAGGCCGAGCTGGTGACAAGCATTTGAATCCGCTAAGTTCTGTCAAGGGAGCTGACTCTGCAGGCATCAAAACCAAACTAAATCAATAAAAGAATTAAACTTTTATAAATTGCATTTTGACAAGTATCAGATACCGTTAAGCTTTGATATTATGAATTCCTCGGAGGAGATGCAAACAAGAAGGGCCGCAGTTAGAGATCCAAACAATCAAAGAGGCTTGTTAACATGCGCTGTCAAATGCATCAGTGCTATTAATTACTACAAATTAATGTGACTCTCTCTTCCTCTGGTGATTGGAATAATAATCAGCTGGATTCATGGAATGAGCACAGAGAACATATGCAACCCTGCCAAAAATAATAATTTAAGAAACCAGGAGACATTTGCAATCTTTATGCTTACAGGCTTGATAATTTGCTTGTTGCTAGTGTGTCCCACTTTACCCCATCCTCCTGATTGCTGGGAACTGCCTCATCTGCATCCCAAACGGACATGCTCCCACTCCCTGGCTGCACCAGCACTTGCCCTGATGATGAAGTCTTTCTCCTCTTCAGCAGAGCTGTGAAGGCAGAAGGACACACAGCCAAGCATCTCACCCTGGCCAGCCAGGCAGAACTATGGCCCTTGCTGTAGCCACAGCCCATTCCCTGTAGCTGGGGCTGTCCAGAAAACCCTCTGCTACTTCAACTCCTGCACGCCACAGGAAATCACAGACTGGAAAAGAGAATGGTATATTTGGACATGTGGAACTGGTAAGGAGAAAATAAAACCACGGTGCACGTACATCTGTCAAGCTGTGACCCTATTTCAGTAGCACAAGGTAGGAAAAACCATGCTGTTTCCAGCTCAAACTACCCCTTGCACAGGGCACAGCAAAGCTCTGAGCATCACTCCACTCTTCTGGTTTTACTACTACCACAAAACACTATCTTGTCATAGCCTCTGTGCTTGGGAAGAACCCCTCTAGCTATGGTGGACTTTAGAGAAGTCCTGTATTTTTCTCTACTCATACAACCAGAAAAAAGAGAGTTGGAGACAGGGCTTTTGGGGATGAGTCTGAGGTTCTGTTGCTTGGTTGTGCATGATCACTCCAAACACGTTGTGCCCTTACTCAGGCCCAGCTCTCTGCTTTGACAAAACCCACAGAGCAGTATGTGATAGCCACAGGAAGAGAGTTCTCAGGCACCCTGGAACCAGGAGGCCAGGTTTGCTGGGGAGAGGCTTGGCTGTAACCCAGCTTGCAGGGAGATCTGAGGCAGCCAGCATAAATGCATATCAGAGTGGAGGAAATCCTGATCCAGGGAAACCCTTATCCCACTGATGCTGGAGGGCTCAAGCACTGTGCTTGAAGCCAGAGCTGAAGGCAGGGCTCGGGAAGAAGAGCAGATGGGCAAGGGAGAGAGGAGAAGCATAAAATTGATCAAGGTCATTTTGTGTTCCCTTGAACACTGTAAACTAGAACATATCCCAACCTTTGCCCAGGGAACAACAGGGATAAGCAGGGTGGCACACTTCTTGCAGTCCTGAAATGGAAATGGGGGCAGAGGAGAAGAACAGGACAGTTGTGCCAGCCCTGTGCAGTGCTTGGTTGAGCTTCAAGGCCCTTTGCACTAATGCACCAGGGTTAAAGTCTTCATCCCCATATGCCTCTTTCTACAGACCAATAAATCCATTTCCCTGGAGCAGGTGGGTAGAATAGCAGATTTCTCAATCAAGAGCTAACGAGGCCTCAAATCTCTCACCCCCCAACATCCACTTGTTTCCAAGAAGAGCCGTGTCTCAGCCCCATATGTGCCATACAGATCTCCTATAGCCACACACCACAGAAATGCAACACATCCATCTTGTAGGGATGCAAGGGCTGAGCAGAGCCCCTGCCTCTCAGCAAAAGCAGGTTCTCTGACAGGTACCCCACTAATGCAGGATAGCAGGCACCATGATGGAACTAAAGGACAGTTTCTGAGTACAGTGAGATGAATTAGTTTGACACCATCTGGCAGCAGTTTTTCATTTCTGACAATATTTAAAACATAATTTGAGCTCAGGCAGTGATAAATAGGTCTCAGATCTCACCTGACTTCAGTAACCTCTTGGCCTAGGCATATTGAGTCATTTATCTGAAGCTGTAGATTCCAATATTTTGTTGCCATATCTAATCTAAATAGACTTCTGGACACTGCCCTTATTGCACCGTGGTAATCCTGGATTGATCCTGTTGAAGCAAGTGGAAGCAATGACATCTATGTCTGCCTTTCATCAAACACATGATGAAAGTTGATCATGTTTAAGCATGTTCTCCCAGCTGGAATCTGTAACAGAAAAAAGCCATGATGCATTAGTGTTCCCAAACATCTAATAGTGGAGAGAGGCATTTTACTATTACTGTTACAATTATTTCCTTTAAAATCTTAGTTTTCATTCTCTCAGTCTAAACATCGCTTATGATGGCTTTAGCATGTGTGTATATATATCTCAACATGTATGTACACATATAGATGCTTGAGTCTCTACACAAATACATAAATCCTTTAGACAGAACAGCATGACAGCAAAAGCTTTCAGATGAAAACATGGTGTGAAAATGTAGGATGTCTCCTCTCTTTGCATTCTATGGCGAATGCAAAGGAAACTTATTGCTTCAAATATGTGCAATCTTTTTTGTCTGATTACCTGTAGATGTTCTATATGGCTCTCTATACGAGACAGTACATTCTCTGTCTCCTACAGACATTCCAGTTTATTATAAACATACTTCCATTCTTCCACATATCTTTATGAATTTGAAGGAGCTGCTTAGAATTTGTCACTTATTTTTAACAATATAATTTTCTTTGGAAGGAATATTCCTGCTAAGCTTGACATGTGATATTTAATCACATATTGACCACTCAGGATTATTTTAATGCTTCCTGTCAGTTCCAGTACAGCAGGCAGAGTTCAAGCAACACATTTGCCTGGAGTTCAGTATTCATTTAAATCAAATTTGTCAGCTTTCAATTTTTTTAAATGTAATATTTTATTTTTATTAAATGCAAGTTAATAATGCCTTGTCAGGCCAAGGGCATATTTTAATGTGAACTCAGATGTTAAGTGAAATTGGAGCCATAACACCCTGCTAATAGACTCATATAATCATCTTAATGCCAGCATCTCAACCTAACACAAACATGTGCTGGCTTTGTGTTCAGTTGTCTCAGGGAGCTGTTCCAGATGCATAAAACACCCGCACAAACACAAACACACACATACACATCCTTTAAATGCCTTTAGTGCTCATGGGGTGGGTGCCTGTGACACTTGTGTATATTACTTAAAGATTTCCATGTGCTCCTTTTTACTCTTCATAAGGCATCTTACTTGACTGGTGACATAACAGCCTTGTTTAATAATCCTGTCTCTTCTCAGCTTTGTCTTTAATTTTCCATGTTGCTATCTATAGTGACTTGATTTGGGTTTTTTCTGACAATATTTATGTGTACAATTGTACATATATGAATTCAGCTTTTCTAAGAGAGATGCAGACCATACATGCAACCTTGGGTATGATGTCTGGGTGCACCAATATTAGACACATGCATGCACATGTATATAAAGCATTATGCATTTCAAGAATGTAAAGAGTTTGCTCACGCTACACACTGCATGATACACACCCACACATGGCAGGTAAACCTCCACAATATTTATCTTTACTTGAGCAAGGGATTATCACTCTTCTTGTTCACAAAGACAAATGTAGCAACGAGCAGCTGTTGCAAGTTTGAAGTTAAGAGATGGATGGAGACTGGTCCAGCCTTCTAAACATACTGTAAACCACAGCACTGCAAAGTAACAGTGTCACAGAGGGTGATAAAGCATTGCATCTTTACCAAGCATTTCTCAAAAGCAGGACAAACCCAGCACCCAAGTCCCCACTCTGCAGCTGTGGGCTCCAGACCCACTCAGCTGCCATGCCTTGCTGGGGCTGGGTAATGGCACCTTATGTCTTTCACCCCTTAAATCACCGGCTCTGGAGGGGCACAGGTCAGCCGTGGCAGAGCCATCCCTGCCTGCCAGCTGTGCTGTCGCACTGCAGAGAGGTCCCGCAGCGAGCGGGGGACACGCTCCTCTCACCAGGCACCAACGTCCCGGGCCAGGGCTGGAGCCCTTGGTCCCACACAGCAGAAACCCACGCCCTGCCTCCCAGGAAAGCCGTGATCCAGCTCTTCCCACGGCCACAAATGCAATTCCAGCACAGGGTAATAACAGTGAAAGGAGGGAGGGAGGGAGATGCACGGAGGATGGGCAATGTTTTCCACTGACATCTGAGAGGAGACAATGGTCACCACTATAGGGAGAAAATGCAAGGTTGTGAGGAGGGTGAGAACCATGGAACCAGGAGTTTTTTAGTTTAAAATTACCCAGAGGATGTTCAAGATAGATCCAGGTATCCAAGACACTTGTGTCCAAGGCTGATCTTATGGGCTGAAGGGGGCCATGGAAGGGTTTTAAGAACAAAGGATTTGGTTTCTCCACAGGTTTGCATAGGTTTCTGAACATGTCTCCCCTGCCTCTGAGGTAGGAGGTCCAGTATCATTTCCCCAGGCAGCTCTGGAGAGCTGTCTTCAGTTTTTAACCCGGTAGAAACACCCATTCTCTCCCATGAAGAAAGTTTCCCCCCAGGCCCCAGGGAGCCCCCCAGTGCAGAGCAGCATCATTGTCCCTTCACCACCCAACTGAGCAGGAGAGCCAAGGAGCCCCTGTCCCAGGGGTGAGAGAGGAACAAGCCCAGCATATTTGAAATGGAGACATTTATTTTTCCTATGCTCACCTCCACCACACAAACACACAGCAGCAAGGAGAAGTATTGAGCTTTCTTTCCCAGCTTTCTCTCCTCTGCCAAGGGCAGCAGCACACATGCCCTGTGCCTGTTCTGGGGTGTCCCACATCTCTGCAGGAACAGGTAGGCTCATACTTCCTACAGCCTTCACTGAAAGCCAGGGGTATAGGCAAAAGCCTCCCCAGCAGGGAGCCCAGCTCTCTGGGGGTTAAAGGTGCATCTATGGCACCATTTCCTTATACTTTACTTTTAATTGCATCTACTTTTAAAAATCTCCATAGGGCAATGCTGAAAACCTGCATGCAATATCCAGCTCTCGGCATGAGCCCAGACAGCCTCTGTGGCCCTGGTTTCCCCCAGTTTAGGGGTATTTCAGTTGTCATTGTTTCTACCACCCTGGGCTAACCTTCCCACCAGTTCCACCCCCAGCATGGGGAGAAATACACACCTCTGTCAGCATCCTGCATCCTGTAGATGGAAAAGAAAAGGTGTTGAAAATGTGCATCAGGGTACAAAGCTTTTCTTCTGCCTCTACTCTTTGATTGGTACCTGAGAACAGCAATGCCTTGGGCAGACCTGACTGGGCTGCAGCCAAACCTGTGCCCATGAGCTCTAGGGAAGGGCAGGAGGGGCAGCGGGACTCGTGCAGCTGCAGTGCTGGTGGGGCTGTGTTGAGGCATATGTCATGATGCTCCAGTAACAGTTCAGGTTTCACTGCTCTCTGAAAGCCAAAAATGAGAGCCCTTTGCAGAGAAAAGTAGCACCTCTTGTCACACAGCTCAGCTCCATCTACCACCAGGAAAAACACTTCCCACCAAGCCTTTCCACGAAGAGAGAAGAAAACTGCAAGAAGACTCTTGTACTTTTCCTGAGTCCTGCTCCCTCTGGAGACTTTTCTAAGGAAGGAAGACATTGCAACCGTATTTCCAGGCCTTACTTACACCTTCTTGCCATTCATCCTGCTGTCCTGGAGCAGTGCTTCCCATCACTGAACGCACACCTCTCCTGCCCCACATTGATCTCAGTGCAGAGCAGTCAGAGCTAATGCTGTTATATCATCATAAATCTGGTATAATAGAAAATCAGCCCAAAGAGGCTCACATCTTTTATATGTTCATTCAGACTATCCAGACACAATAACTCTATCGTGATCGAAAACGCAATAACGTGGCAATAAGGCACGTATATTAATTATAACTGCAGTTCAAACATCAGCTAGTTTACATAAGAGTAATTAAAATCACAATTGACCTTTTGTAGAAACATACGGCTATGCTTAATTCTAGCCACTAGCATTCAAGGCTTTTATTTAAATGGTATTCGCAATTCATAATTATATCTTTTTTGAAAATATTTTTTATGGGTAAGTGAAAATTACTTGTATCCTGTGTGTTTGTTCTTTATACAAACTCACTCATATTCTCAGGAAAATGGTTTAATACGCAAAAGCAGATTAAAAATATATATATATATTTATTCTAAAACTACTTGAATTTTCATCTGTAAAGCAGTTATATTTAGCTCTTATCTAAGAATGACCGAATAACACCCAGTCATATCTATTTACTTCTCAGTTCTTCTGTACTATTTATTGTTTCTTGCATCAGTCAGAAAAATCCCATTTTTAATGAGGAACATATATTTCATATCATATCACTACCTTTCATGATCCCAGGCACCCTGGCCTAAAGCATCTCTCCAGCACCCTACAAGGCAGGAGTAGCCTCAGGGGTCAGGGAGAGGCAGCAAAAGCGACATCAGGAAAAACTTCTGCAGGAAGAAAATGGGGAATAGTCTCCTCAATTGTACCTGCATTTAAAGTCCATGGGTCATTTTGCAAGTCCTTCTCCATGCCAGATGTCTGGCAAGAAAACAACCTCGATTTTGAGGGAATGGTTTGGAGGGGTCTGTTGGAGAACAGGAATGTTTCGCATGAGTGGGGACAGCTGGGGCAAGCCCACCATTTGCAAACGTGCCTGTGGTTATGCTTTCAATAGGTGGCACTTATGAATAATAATAATATGCATAATCTATCTTGTGCCCAGGCAGGAGAGAAAACATAAGTGGACAAGCCTGAAGGCATGGCCGTCTATTAAAGGTTGCTTGGGAATTCTCTGCAGAGTTAGGGCAAAACTGTGCTGCTAAACATGGCTGGGGGATTTGCATATTTAAGAAAAGAGGACTAATTGAAAATCTCTTCTGGATGAGTGATTTACATTTCTTACAGATCAAATTACAGAAGGTGAAATACAGTTTTGCCCTTTTGTTGTTTATTTGATTGCAAGCTTTCACTGCTAACTTTCCTTTTTATTAAAGAGCTTCAATGCAGACTTCCAGGAAAAAACCCAAATTCCCAAGCCACAATAAGCACCTAAAGCCTAAACCCTGCAGAAATTCACAATCTTTCTTTGTTCTGTGGCCATTTGTAGACATCTTGAATTAAGCACACATGGCTCGCGATCTTAGTAATTAAGTATAAAAATAATAAGAAAATTGCAAAAACACACATGCTCTCTTCTACCTATTGCTGCAAACATAATCCAGGTCTAATCCCATCAGCAGCGAGGACAGTATAACATAAGGGAAAGACATATTTGATTTTAAAGTAGCCCAAGAAATAATGAGGCAAGTATCTTGGACATTTCCCAGAGAAATATGGATCAGGCTGACCTTTATTTCTCATTTGTTTATATAACGCCTCAACTGCTTTATTTTAAAAGAAAGAAAATTGTATTCTTTAAAAAGAAGAAATAAGTGTCTAATTCTGGTGAATAAACTTCCTTTGCACTGCAAACCAGCAGCCACTGTCCTGATTCCCAGGGTATTTCCATTCCCTGGGGACCATGGGAAATTACTTCTGCTCCCAGCGAGGTAACACAGCCCAGGAAAGGGCTCCCACCAGCCCACAAACAAGGCTGGTACCGAGCTGAGGAAAGAGCTTCAGAAAACACAGCATTTTATCTGAGAGCCAGGGAAGAAGAGCAGATGAGGAGGAGCTCTTCCATGAGATGTCAGCTTGCCTTCAGCAGGAGAAAGTCTGTAGCTGGGGACACCACTAACAGAATGCTCATTAGAAATCTGATGCTGAGAGTACTCCCACCAGTACTGGATTTCGGGATGTGTGGCTGAGCTGATGGCTCACTCCAGCAGTGACAGCACCTTGCAAGCAACAGGGACTCAAGTCACCTCTGGGGCAGGAGACCCACGCTCACCACTTATTTACTACACCTCAAACAACCCAGCTGCAGAAGAGTATCAGAGTGCTGGTATTTTAATTGAAGATGGCTGTATGAGCAGCAGAGAACCTCACCACCTTAGTGTTGATAATAGGTATGGGGAAGAGGTGAGGGTGGCAGCATATCAAAGACAGTGGTTTTCTAAGTCCATGTACACAAGAGAGAGAGCACAATGAAAATTGAAGAAAACACTCAAGTATAAAGCATCAAACATTTCAACTTTAGTACTACTGCTTAGGCCAAGCAAAAAAAAAAAAAATCTATTGGCACAGGGAGAAAACATATCTCTGGATTTTGATAAAGCTATGGGAGGTTATTTGGAGGATGAATTCCCTGGGCCAGTTAAAAGTGGTTGTGCTCTGCTGAAATAAATTCCACCCTGGGATTTAGTATAGTAAGTTCTCTGAAGATGCCGTAGTGGATGAGCTGGCAGCCCAGGGGTTTCCCACACTCTACCTCTGGGTGTTCCAGGAAAGCAAAATTAAGTGCTGAGAAGAGGGGGAAATGCAAGAGGAATCCAATATCAGGCGTTCTGCTGGCTTCACTGCTGCTAATCGTCTCTGTACATGTGAACTGGGTGTAAAATGTTCCCACATCAGAGCTGTAGTTGTGCACAGGTGTAAATTACTACACAAGGTTCAAGGCAGCTCTCAGCCATGTCCAAGCTGCCTAATTAGCAGTTGTTAGTGTGGCGGAGCTATGAAGTGCTAATATTCAAATGTTATGACTGTGATGCCTCTTGCCAAAATCCATAAAGTGCTTGGAAGCTGGCTAGTGTTACTGACTAAACTCTCTCTTCGTTCTCAAGCACAGGATCAAAGGCAGCCATGCTAATTAACCTCTCCTTTTAGAGCATCTATGGTGAAAATGTAATGCTGCACCAGGGCTGCTGCCACAGCAGTGCCTGGCCTTGACAGGAGATGCTACAGAGCTGGAAAAGCAGAGCTTTTGCTTTCTGTCTCATACAAGGCAGCCCCCTCATTTGGGTATTGCTGTTCTGGGTGGCAAAGATGAAAAACCATATATTTTTTTGTAAGACTGTTATTTTAAAACTAGGCCTTTTGACTCACACAGTCAACCTCTAAAACAAGGCCTACAGGACTGGAGAAAAGCACTCATATAACATATAGTACTTGACATTGCCTATGGCTAAATATAGGGAACAAGATGTTCTCTGTGGCCATACCAAGCTTCCTTAGTCATATACACTTTAATCTAAGCCCTGCTACAGGGAGAGAGATCCCTGGCCCCATTCTCCCTTCTGAGCAACAGCAGCGGGGCGAGTACAATGTGCGTCCACTGAAGCATGGCCAACGCGGCACCAAGGCTCAGCTCTGTGCAGATCAACCCAGTCAGGCAGGAGCATGCCCTTGGTGCAGCTAATTTCAGAGCTATTTTCTATGGTTAGCATCAAAGACATTTTCTACAGCATGCATGTATGAAATTAAGGCTCACTAATTTCATAAATGGCAGAGTGCATATCTGACCCTCTTCTGAATCCTCTGAATCCCAAATCCTCTGAAAATCTGTGTGCTGTACCCAGCCAGCAGAGCCCATGGTGCAGAGACATCCCTACCCCAGCCACAGCATCTTCTGGAGGAGAGGGCCACAGGAAAGGAGTTGCTTGAGGACCCTCCCTGTGGGCCCATCTTCCCCAGGGAGGTGGTCCCAGGAATAGGGCCTGTGAATCCACAGGGATTCAGTCCAACCCACCCAACAGTGATGTTGACACTGAATGTCCTGAGCTTGCAGACATCTGCAGAAGAACTTGGCACCATCATCCCTGCTTTGCCACTGGAAAAGGGACCTCCCAGAGGTAGGACAGCTTTCCCCAGGTACAACAGTAGCAGGCCTTGGCAAAACAGCTCCATTTCTTCTGTCTGTGGAACACACAACCTCCTTCAGCCAGCCAAATTCTCAGGAGAGAAGATCCTCATTTTATATCATTTTTACAGCACTTTTCAAACCCCCAAGGACTCACACTTGAAGCACACACAGTATGTTGACTAACAGACCTGGGTTTGTCAACGCAGCTTGACCCAAGTCCACATACACAAAAAGAAACCCCACTGAGCTCTTGCCTCACACAAAGGTGGGTAGAAGGGCCTTGCTCACCCAGCACCATCCTCTGCCCATGGCAGCCAAGAAATCCCTGGTGTCAGGTTCAGCAGACGAGAGCATGGGGGGATGGAAACCTCACATAACTCTCTGAAAAAAAATCCCATAAAAAAGTGTGTTTTCCCAGCAAAAAGAAAAAAAAGCCCAAATCTCATCAAAAGCTGTAGAGCTTCTCAGCAAGATGGGCACTGGCAGAGCTGGGCTCAGTCACACCGCGTGGAAGGGAAGTCCCTGTGACTGAGAAGAGAATGGGTGTCTGCAGCACAGCATAAATTAATATGACAGTTGCTGCTTTTTCAGTGAAATCAAACCCCAGCCATCCCTTGTCACAAACAGAAACTTCACAGATGCACTACAGGATATTTCATTGTTAAATATTTTGAATTTTCAACACGAGAAATACTACCTAGCACTAGTTGCATTATTTGTTTCATAGGGAAGGGATTAACATTCCTGGGGGTCAGAAAAGAGGCATATACCACTAAAGCAAGAAAATATGATTATTTCTTTGTTTTCACAGGTCCTCATGCAGACAAATGCAGTCTTTTGGAGATACTCTGACACGGGCCTGGAGTACATAGCACTCCTTCATTTGCACTTCAAGTGCTCTGAATCTGGGCAAGGACTCCAGTCTCAGAGGCAGATCCTTCAGCCGTTTACATCATGTAAGTGTAAGGTTATTCCTGATTTTGCTAGCATGGCTGAATGTAGCACTTGTTCCCATGTATTTATTTATGTTGTCTATAAAAGATTTATAACTTTTTTTAAAAGAGGCAGCAATTATTGTCTCATTTATACTAGCGAACTCTTGAATAGCAAAACCAACTCCAGATAGCTGGAATATCTTAGGGAGTAGATCTGGCCCAGTGGCTTTATTTCTGGAGCTCTGCTCCACCTCTGAATTTTAAAAATGGTATATTCATGCTCTGAGGCAAATCTCATTTTCCAGCTCAAACATTTTATGCAATATTTTAGTAGGCTGTTTCATACTGCTGTACAGTCTCCAATTTTAAGAATTATCAATAATGTATTCTTCCATGTAACCTCTTTAACACTCACAATAGAATAAAATAAAAACACATCAACAAAAAAATTGTCTCTGCTTGGCAATGCTATGTGAATGTTAAATTTCCCATTTCACAATGCAGCCATCACTATAAACTCTGAGGGCGGATTAACGCTCTTCTGGTACTTCACTGTATCAGAACACGGATTTGCAGACAACAGCTGCAGCAAATTCCCTTGACTGAGAAGAATTACAAGTATTATCACCTAGATCATTAAACTGGGTTCATAGATTGCAGAATGTCTTCAATCAATTCATCTAAGATAACTTGAAGCCAGCTGGACCCCCTCAGTGAGAACTTGACTTAATTGGCCAATAAGTGGCTGGAAAAGGTGCATGCGATTTGATAAAATTACAGACTGCAGAAGCGATTACAATTTGGAGAACCACAGAGGGTAGCCTCCGGGTCAGCCCTTTTGGAGAGGGCTAAGTTAATGTCCACTATTAAGTGCTGCTGTGAAAAATGTTGGCCCACTTGGTGCTCAGATGTAAAGTGTATCCAGGTCATTCCTCAGCTGATGGAGGGAGAGATGTGCACATTTATCACTGCTCTGGCCTCATTTCTGCCTTGGTAATAGTCGTACACTAACAACTGCTGGCAGTTTCATGGTTTTCTGGGTACCCTTCATTTTATTGGCATAACTAAAATATTATCTGAGCAAAGCAATCCATCTGCTAAAGAAAAACACTTTCCTTCAATTACATCCCCCGAGTCTTTTCTTAAGAAAGGTTAAAACACCAGGAAGTTGAAAAATATACATTAGTTTGTTTTTATTTTTTCCAATGTACTGCAAATATGCTTTCTTGTTACTGGATAAGAGGTAGGTCTACATATTTACCACCACAAAATGTTAGGGAATATTCCTAGCTTTAAGAAAAGGGTCACATTAGCATTTAAGTACAAAGCAGTATTTAAAAGCAATTGCCTATCTTCCTCTTCCTGCACTCCCACAAAAAAAAAAAAAAAAGGAGGGGGGGCTAGAAAAGACTGTTTAAGTATTTTCTCCACGGTTTTATATTTAATAATGAAATAGATTAGGTCATTTGCAGAAAAGCAGTATTTTTTTAAAATGGCGCTACAGTGTGCAAAAAACCCATTGCATTACCCAATTGTGTTAAACATCATGGGAAAACAGAGCTTGATCCTTCGTGAGCTCAGCAGGCAGGGCTCCCATTGACCTTGGAGAGGGGCTGTGGGTGCCTCCCAGGCATTAACCCTTTTGTTAGCCCCACCCCAAGACAGGGCTTGCAATCACTTCTGCACCGATAGAGTGTACCTGCTGTGATTCCATGTTGCTGAGGATGCATATTTTTCATGGATTGGATAATTTTCATGGGTTTTGTTTTGTTATTTTTAAATCCCTACCTTTTATAGAGCTAGCTCCAAGACTCAAATATCTAATGCAGATATTCAGAAGTAGCTTGGTCTCACTTCAAGGATTTTTTTGCTGATGGCTAAGTTGTTATAACAGTAAATGGTGTAACATACAATCAAAAGCCTAGGGGTTGCCTAGTTAGCTAGATGCACCCAAAACACAAATTAATGAAGTGTGGAAGGACAAGTTACATCTTACCATTAAGCAGGGAAAGATGGGGCTCTGACACAGTGATTTTAAACTGCAAATATCAAGTCCGAAAATAATTCTACTTAAAAAAAAAAAGGTACAAAATGCATACTTTCTTAAAATGCTTTCCTTTCATAAGTCAGAAATGTCAGAATCCAGTTTTATCTCACCCACAGACAGAAATTAAGTTGCCATTTGTTTGCTGGGTCTCCTACCATGTAACAGATGTTTCTTCCCAAGGAACCACTCGGGTCCCATTGCACCAAAGCACAAAGCACAGTTACCCAGGGCACAGGTTAAGGTAGGCTCAGCAGAGAGCTGGCTGCTGCTTTGGAAAAAAACCCATCTATTTGAAGGAGCTTTCTTAAGATAGGAAGTTGAGGTTTAGTCTGTCCCTAACTGTGGGTAGAAAAAACACATTTCCAAATGCTTCTGGTGAAAGCAATCCACTTTGGTCATGTAAAAATGGCCTTTCATTTTCAAACGTGAAGGAGAGTCCTAAGACATTTGAAAAAGGGTCAAAACAAAGCAGGATGTGTCCAGATTGTCCAGATGACCATGTGGCAGTCCCTCCACCCCCACCCCACTCTTTGATCCTCCCAGAATTTTGTGGAATAGACTGATTTTAGCAAGAAGTTTTTTGAGATTTATGACCCTGTCCTGTCCACTTGGAAGTACCACTTGGTGAGATCAAGCTGCACAACTGGGATGGCCGCAGCTTCACCTGTTCTGTGGGATCTCCTTCCCACATAATGGAATTCTCTTTTCCCTGCCCATGAAGATGCACTTGTTCTCTTCTGCATTCAGGACACTCCTGCATTCCAAACCACTGTGTGAAAACATGGTGCCTGTCATAGGCACAGAGATGTCATGAATATTTCAATTCCTGGTCCTGTCCCTCCAGTCAGGTGTTTCAGTTTAATCTGATTCAGTTTAACACTCTGTTCTGATGTCTTTAGTGCTAGGAAAGAGATTCTGCTTTCTTGCTGTTTTAAACAGGAGAGTACAAGGGCTTTGCTGCACTGGGTACCCACACTCGGTCTGTGCTCTAGCACAGGCAAAGCTCTAGCTCTCCCCACTTAGCTCTCCAGTGTTGCTTTGCTGGTTAAGCCCTGACATGAAAAGCCCTTTCTAGGCAAATTTCAGCATTTTAAGCACTGTCCTTGCTTGGCAGAAGGATGCTGCCTGCCAAGATTTACCTTTGGATGCAGGATGGAAACCCAGAGGGCTGCTTGTCCTCTGCTCCCAGCTCTGTAAGAGTGGCCCTGTACAGCCAGGGTCAAACTGAAACTGTGTGACTTCAGTGCCACCGTGCACTCAGTGTGACCTTGAATGCAACGTCCCCATCCACCAGCAAGTGACCAGCCAGGCCTGCCACCTGCCATGGGAGGAAAAGGGAAACTAATTGAGTTGTACACGACTTAATCACATTAGCATCCCTTGTGCTGCCATTTCTCATGTCCCCACAAGCTCGTGCCATGTTTGTGGTTACTGGTGCTCCCACACACCCTGGGGCACCAGGTTTCAGACACGCATTGAACTGTCGCTTGCAAATTTAGAAATCTATTTTTAAAGCAAACTAAGCAAACAATGGTGCTTTCTCTGCCTGTCAAAAAGATCATTAAAGGAACAGTTGCTGGCGGGGATTTCAGTGGCAAACAGGCCAGGCTTGGCAGGGCAGGACCTTTGCTCCAGCTCACTGTGCTGAACTGAAGCGACGCTCCTCCATAGCCCATCACACCACTGGCTCTTCATCAGGAACCACCAACCAGCAGATCAGGGTGGGCTGATCCAGCAGTCCCCAGAAAAACTGTCCAAAATTTTCACCTTCTTAGGGAAAAGCCCTCCAGGTCAGTTCTGCCACCCCAGAAGGAGAGGGTGAAGCCATTGCCCACCGTGACATTTTGGTACCATCCAGCAACATCCTTGGTCTTCTCTCTTTGTGCACAGACTGGAGCCCTGCAGCCTCACTTGCCACAGCTCTAGCATCATGCTACAGGCATTGGAGGACTCACTGTTTTCCTGAGGGAGCTCTGTCCCCCAGAACCACTTGGCCACCTGAGGATGGTAATCCCACTGAACAGCAAGTCAGTGTGATCCTGAACAGAACTGCAAGAGCCAGTGCTAGACGAGAAATACACCTTTCAGACTTATTTTTCTTGACATTAAGATATTTAAGACCATCTCACTTCTCCAGACTTTCAGTGATTAAGGGCTGCAGTGTTGACTGCGCACAGCTATGGCATCACCCATGTCCACTCAGGCTAACACAGTGAGTGACACAGCCCCTTTTTGGCTGCCTCCGCAGCGCTTTCTCTCAGCCTGGAGGCGCAGGAAACCAGGCCAGCACTGCCTGCTCCCACACAAGGGGCTGCAGCAGTTGGGTCTGAAGCCAAGCAGGGACCACCAAGGCAGGGAGCCCTTCCTGGCCCTGCAGGGGGTGGTTAGAGGAGTGAGAGAGACAAGAGCCCGCAACTGCCCAGATGTTGCATTCTCTACAGTGCAGCTGGGTTGCTCCATCTGCCCAGCTCAATATTTTCCATTTGGCTACAGCAACCACTGCAGTGTAGGGTCCAGCAGAGAAGAGCCACTGCTGAGATCCCTGTGCTAAACCAGAGGACAGGAAGTGGGAACACACAGATCCTATGGCTGAGCTTCTGGCAAGGAAGTATTTAATTCACCCTGCATGTGAGGGCCAGACCCACACACTTAACTCAACGAAACAATGGAAGTATCTGGATCCACTTTGGCATATTCCAAACACATTGCACCCCATCAGCATCTTTGAGGGATCTATTCATTATCTAGACACTAGACACAGAAGTAACTGAGATAACCTTTCCTTCTTTCTGTCTTTCAGCACTAAGGAGGTGGTGTAGAAAGGAGGTTTTTTATACATGGAGTAGAAAAGTCTATTTTTTGTTTACTTTGAAAAAGCCTAGTATTGACTTCCATTTATCTTCCAATAAGTCCTTGTCCAATGCAGCTCAGAATATAATACGTTCCAAGGGCAGGTGCTTCTTAATGAGAGCTGAAATTTCCATGATTTTTATTCCATTCATTAAAAAGGAAAGAGAAGGAGAGAAAAAAATAAGAGAGTTAGAAAATGGCATGAAAGCATATTATCAGTAAATTGTTTCCACTGTGTTTGTGACTCTTCTTAATGTTTTATGAATATGCTAAAAAATTTGCTCAGGCATTTTTCCTTGGGCACTCTAGTTAATTACTTATTCAGAGAGCTTCTACTCTGTTCCTTGCAAAATGTGTTGTGCATTAATTCTGATTATGTACAAAAACCCACCTGCAAGGAAAAACTCTGAATCAGTAATGCTGATAAAATGAGCAGCTCTCCTGGGGCTTTACTGAGAAACAGGATACTGGACAGAATTAAAATCTTGTAGCTAAGGCTATTCATAATGTCATTAACATAAAGGCAATTAAATGAGTTTTTAACCTACAACCCTTTATTGTTATTAATGAACATTAGAAAAACACAGGAGATAAAATTGGTAATTATCTCTGCACCAAGCTATGCAATAATGTGTTTAAATATAAAAAGAAAACAAATGATTATTGTTAGTATTTTCAGTAGCAGAAGCCCCAAGGAGCAGCTCAGTCACATTTAATCACATGGTACTACACCAAGAGGGTTAATTAAACCAGGGCTTTACCTTCAGCATGCTTGGTTATTCTGTTTAATATGGAATCAACAAACAGAAACGCCAATCTGCAAAATATTCCAGGCAGTGCCTTTACCATCAGGTGAGCCACCTTTAAGAAAACCAAGAGAGCTTTTGTTCCCTCCAGGATGAGAAGCTGCAGTCCTCTAATCAAGTTTTTATTGTCGTGCGCTTTAAGAAAAACATTCCTGAAACAACTATATAAATCCTGGTTCATAGCCCAAGCTTACCATTCTGTAAAAAAAAAAAAGAATTTGGGGATTCAAAAAAGATGAACGTTTGACAGTAGCTGGTAGATATGGCTGCAGCACTACAGTGCAGAGAAAGAGCCTCCAGTTCTATTTTTTAATGCAAACTATTGTACCCTCTACTTAAGCAGTCATAAATTAGAATATCTTCTAAAGGGAAATTCACTAAAGCTCAGTGAAATAGTCTGTATCTAGACTTGAACTTAATAATTTAAGTTTTATGATACATATCTGCAAAATAACTTTAACATATCTCTTTTTTAATAACTCTTTTAATGTATTTACAATATTTTGGGGGTTCAGAAATCTATTTGCTGGGCAATATGTAGCTAAAAAAATGACAATAATTTTATCTTCCATGTCAGTAGATAAAGCTTCTCTAAGGAATGTGTCCATCCAAACAGGGCTTGGGAGGGAAGAGCTGAAGGCACTTAAAGACTGCACAGAATCCAGCGCTGGTCTCATGGAGCAGCATGTGTTATTGCTGCAAGACCCCCACCTCCAGGCTCTGCAAGGACCTGCCCTGTCCAACACCCCTCTACCCCCTGTATCCTGTGGGATCTGTGGGGAACCTTCCCAGCAGCAGGAGGGAGGATGCAGGAGTGAAGGGGAAACGAAAGAAAGAAAACTCAAAGGATGGTTGGCCAATGTGCTGAATGTAGGAATAACTGAGTGCATTACACCAGCAGGGGCTGCACATATGGATGCAAAGGAGGCCTGATAGCTATACAGCTACTTTTTCCCTAGAAGATATTCTTTCTGGGACTGCTGAAGAGAAGTGAGAAATTTAAAGGATTTAGTCAAGAAGAAAAATGACCAAGGTGTTCCCTTGCTATTTAGGAGATCTGATTAGTGAGAAGGCAGTGGAAGAATGAAGAAAAGAAAAATATCAAAAGGGTGAACAATTAGCAGCCCAGTTTACAACAGTAGATACCATTAGATAAACCAGCTGCTTCTTTTAACAGACATGCAGCAAGAACGCAGATAACCTGGCAACTCAGACATCCAAAAGAGCCTGCAGAACCTCCCTTCCACAGGGAGTGATGGCAAAGCTCAGAGCTGGATCTCACAAGAAACAGAATCACTTACCAGGCTTAGATGGGACTCGAGCATAAGGAAAAAAACAGATGCACTGAGAACATAGGAGCAGAGAGAGTGGTAGAGGAGGAAGCATCAGAAGTAGTGGTTTGTAATATAAAAATCAGATGGGACCTATCAAGGGTTGATAGCCAGAAGAGTGCAGAGCCCAAAGCTGGAGGGGAAAAGCTGCTTTATGGAGTCAGGCAACTGGAATGGGGCAGACACACTCACAGGTATTTTTGATATCACTGTTAAGCTGCTCCTGAGCCCTTTTTAAACACACACAGCCTTCTGCACCACCACCTGCATTGACAACAATGTGTAGGATCTCTGGCACCAATACACCGTGCTGTTAAACAGCAAGCCATGGGCAAAGGTGGTATTATAACCAGCAACTGCTTCAGACAACTTTACAGCTCTAAATGCCTGAAAGGTTTTCCCCCAACAACTACAGATTTCTCTTCCTCCTGATGTGCAAGCTGATTTCACTTGCTTGTGTAAGCCTGCTATTCACTGGTGTAATAAGAAAAGGCCCAGGCTATTCAAGTGCTGTGTAGGTGCAGAAATGATGTGCATACTAACCAGCTCCTCCAAGTCAAATAAGCACAGCTGGTTTAGTTTCTTTTGAACTTGGAGATGTTGTAGGAAGCCATTAAGCTGGGTGAGCTGTGGTAGAGGTGAGATGGCCTCCAGTGGTTTGTATGAGAGCATGCAGTCCTGGCAGTGATGCACAGTGGCACAGGGGACAAGCACTGTGTCACTTCTGTCCCCACACGGGCAATGCTGCAAACACACACACAGATGCGTGTCCTACACATCCCTTGGCAGCCTGTGAGTGTACACAAAGGGACACCATGCTGGAGCTCTACTCTCTCTATCTGGGAAGTCAGTTTTGGGTGCTCTCTGCTTTTATGTCCACATCACATTTTTCTGTGAAAAACAGACACACAGCTAAGCAGAAGCACACACTCTTTGTTGCTTTTGGCCATCCTTTTCTATTATTTTAATTATAGATCACCAGTTCATTACTTGTTTCTAAACTTTATCCTCTTGCCTTTGTAAAGACAAGAATCCCAGGCATTTTTCCATACTCAGATCAAGCCAATGTTCATTTTCACAGAAAGCTATTTGAGACAGGACCACACTGCACCATCCTGCTCCAGCCCCATGGGTCTCTGCACGCTCATGCTGGGAGGAATCAGCACAAACAGTAGCATGTGACAGATAAGCAGAGTTACCACCCTTCACCTGTACATTAAAGAAAACAACCCAAAACACAAATTAATTATGGTGAGGACAAGATAACGCCCATTTGAAGACAAATTTCATTACATGTACCTTGGGGGAGTTTAAAATTGCTGTGACCATTTGCTGTTTTGGACATTTTAATCCAAGCCAGCCATCCAACACAGCAGTGATCCAAAAATGTAGTAACATTCCAAGAAGGAAAGGAGCACTGTGAAGTATCCCCAGGTTTCTGACATCAGCAACACCCAAGTCAGTACAAGCATTCCTGCTCTGCTCAGCTGAAACTCATAAACCTGGGAATAACCTGCTCACTGTGGGGAACAGCTCACTGGAACCATCCACCAGGGCATCTGGTCACAGTTACCACAGTGAAGGGAGCACACAAGAAATCAGTCTATTCTAGCATAACACATCCTATCTTCTTTATAAGCTAAGTCATGGAAGAACTACCAAGCCTATGTCTTATTTACAGTATTTTATTGGATAAATGACACTCTTGCTACTTTTTTTGTCACCTATCAAGTATTTATGGTGACAACAGCCTGTTTTCTGTCATTCAGAGGGCTGGCACCTGTCTGGATAACAGCATGATTCAATATTCCTGAAGTACTAGATTTCTGTAAGAGAGGAAAAATCAATAACTGTGACAAGTGCTATCCATTAGAGCCCAAGAGCAGAGAGAAAACGATTACACAGTGTCATTTGTTTAATATAACAAGACTGTAAATGAAAATTATATCAATTGATCTTTGGAGGATAAAACATCCTTTCAAAGGCAAGACGACCATGGACCAGATCTACTTGACTTCCCAAGGCCAAAATGGTCAATACCAGCTGAAGCTCAAGGTTTCCATTCTGGCAGTTGATGGTCCCCTTTGAGATCAATAGCTTCCACTACACGCAGATCATGGCAACAGCAGCCTTCAGCACCAGTTCCCCATTCCAAGGCAGAGCCAGAAATGTATTTTTCTGTGCAGCTCTGCTTTTTCTTCATCAGGTTTCCCAGAGCAAAGCAACAAATGCATACAAAATACATCATCTATACTGAGATCTCTATTTCAATCTTTATAATATATGCTTATACTCAACATAACAGCATATCTGAGCACTCCATGAACATGGACAGCGGGAGGTAAAGAAATTTGTCTGCCTTCAAGAGCACAGTCACCCTCTGCTCTCCAGCTCCCTTCCCACCCCTGGTCTCTCTCATTGTTTGGCTTTATGGCCTTGTGCCACTTGGGCTGATGTTTCACTTCTAAATGGCATTTCAGCTTTGGCCCCCCTCACTGCCCAGCACCCTCTCCCGGATTAGCTCTTGGGTGCCATATGGTACAAATGGCCTGCCACACACTCGCTCAGTCAGCGTTTAAAAACCTGCCAAAACGCTGCCTCAGCTGGCAGCCTGCCTGGTGGCTCCGTGGGCTGCGAAGGGAGCGTGACGCTGCCTGGAAATAATTGAGATGGGGCCCTGCCAGGTCACACACAGCAGCCCTGGGAGCAGCGCTCCCCTTGCCCGTCCGCTCCCCCCCGGCACGCTCAGACATTCCTGTGCACAGATCCCCCTTGCCATCGCGCCAGTTCCCCAGCTGCCCGCCGATGCAGTAAAAAATAGCACTTGTTTATTTCGGCTGTATTCTGCCTCATTCTGAGCACGGGCCCTGGAGAGCAGAGTCATGGACCGCTCCCCAGACAGCGCCACAGGGAGCTCCCCAGCTCCAGGCCACAGCGGGGACAGCCACTGACTGTCATGTGGAGGACAGGCAGGGCAGCAGGACCACCGGGAACTTGCTAAGGTTTCCTCACCTTGCCATAAACTCCTTTCCTAAAGTATATGTATATATTCCTCCTTTCACAGTGGCGTGTACTTGTCCTCAGCTGCTTGCTGAGGGTTGATCAGTCCAAAGCGTCACCCTCAGAGACCCAGTCTGGAGAAACAGAAGAGAAGTAAGCCTTGTAAGGCTCAGTAGAATATTGACCCCTTGTCTCAGGGGAGAAAAAAATGCATGAAAAAGAGTCAGCTACAGCAGCAGACCTCCACCAGCATCTCTCCAACAACAGATATTTTTCCCCTCTTCTTTGACTCTCTTGCAGCCTGACCAAGCTTCTAGCTTTCCCTCATCCTACAGCAGTTCTGACTCCACTTTCTCTTCTACCAATCTGATGTGATTTTTGCTCAACTTTTTTCCCTCCAAGAAAGGAGACTTTCTATCTTCTTGTTATACTAGAAGCAGATTAATTCAGATGTCTGGATCACCTCATATCAAACAGTATATTTTGGTTTTGATCCCTATGAGATCTGTATCAGATTTTGTTTCCAGATTTTAGCTGAGAGCTTCTCATGGGCTACTCCAGCTGTAGGGCTTTTCCCTAGCAGTGGTCCCCCCATCCAAAGTCCTGCTGCTAGTGCTGTGAAATTGTTTTCCTCTGATGCCATTTCACAAAAAAGGCAATAATCATGGAATAGATGATCCTTCTGAGTCCCTTCTAGCTCAGAGAAGTCCAGTTCTGAAGTGTAAGCTAGGAGTTACTTAGCCCATGCTAAGTACCCACGCCAGAGCAGGTGACCTACCATCCCACCCAGGAGCCATGCAGAGGCCATAGCACAGACAGGCAGTGTGACAAGCTGGTGGCAAGGCTCAGAGGAGGGGCACCTGGAGCACACCAACTCCCTGAGTGGTGGAAGCTGTGGACATGCCCAGCAACACCTGCAAAATGACCTATCATGGAAAACCTGAGATAGGCAAGAAATTATGTTGGCTGAAGCACTCACCTAAACTCCAATCATCCATCTCCTTGGGGAACTTGTGAAGTGAGGTACCTCAAACTTCTGCAAACCACTGATCACAAAGGGTCAGGCATCCAGCTTCACTTACAGCAGACGAGAAGGAGAAAACGTGCTATTCCTGTGTCACTTTCTATTGGGCAAGTAGGTCAGCAGTTAAGATGATGCTACTCCTTAAAAGACATAATTTTGTGTGTTTGTAACTCGTCAACTCCAGATAACCTCCAATTGAGCATCAAACCTGCAGGAGCCTTCATTCTTCCTAGATTGGACTTCAAAGCTGTAACATTACCTATACATATTTGTGCGTTATTTAGCTCTTGTTAGACTAAGCTTTGCCCTTCAGTCACAGTGGGGAGTGGATAGAAGAAAGGCAATATCAGAATAAAAAAAAGCAAAACTATAAAAGGAAATGCAGGATGAAAACACCTTGACAATGACTGGTGGCTACATTGGTAATTCCTGTGCAGTGGTGAAGAAAAGCAGCAATGCCACGGTTCTAATGTTTTCTGGTGAAATATCTGTACAATGTGCCTACACAAAGCTTCAGATGAAACAATCCCTTTATAAGCTTTTGATAGCTAGAAAAGAAGTGGCTTTGCCATTATCTCTGTTTGTGAAATGAAAGTAATACTTAGTCTTGGTGCTCCTGTATGGAGGTGCTGATCATCACAGTGACAGCCAAACTACCTTTGCTTGTTAGTTGTTTACCTTATGATAAGGGGAAGGAGCTCCTTTGTTGTCATTGTATCGTGTGATGTGGTAAAACACAATCCATGCCCAATGTGCAAAGGAATTTCAAGCCAGCAATATTTATCCATGCATAGACAGCACATATTGCTGCTTTGCTGTCAGCGCTGCTTGCAGCGCTTTAGTGAAAATAAAAGGGCATTTGTATCTCAAGTGCTACACTGTGTTGTGACAACATGAGTGTTGCAAGGGCTGTTTGGTATTGTACCACACACACAGGGTTGAGAAGGAAGGTTCCACCACAGCTGCCTGGAAAGACTCAAAGTGCATGAAAGAAACCCTTACAAGTGACATTTGTAACCTGCTGCTGTAAGGGATGTGCTCCCATACCCAAATGCTGCCCTGGGTGTTCCTGCTGTTGGCAGCAAGGAACTGCTGTTCCTGGGAAGCATCACTGCCTGCACAGGTGGCTGAGGTGCATTTGAGTGGAATCTGGCCAGTACATGAAGCCCACTAAGAAACACCAGAACCTGGCATTTCAGATGCTGAGCAACTTTTTAACTGGATAAAGGATCCTAGGTGAACAGTATAGCCTGAAACAGTGTGAGTGGATTAAAACCTTTCACAAGCAATCAGCTCTACCTAGCAGGTTCCCAGGGTCTGTTATATCTGGTGCAGCACAAGATCCTCCATTTTCCTGAAATAAGCAAAGAAATAATAAATACACAAGTGCTGGACCAAGCAGCTTTAAGGATCGTTCAGGTTCACTGCAGTTTCCCAGCTTTAACATGATGACGTATCTACCAAAATAGTTATTGTCTCACAAAGTTCAAAACACATGGAATTCCCCATCAAACTCAGCAGTTGTTTTAAAACTGGTCCTATATTCACAGTCAGAACCTGCAAAGAAAGAAGAAAAAACCCACCTGACACATGTCTTCTTTCTTTAGCCTCCGATCTTGAGTCAGAGGAAGCTGTCAACACAACTGCACTTGGGATTAAGTCCCTAGCAAGGCTAGGGAAAGCATTTGTGTGTTAATAGTACATAATTTACCCTCACCACAACCTCTGTACCAAAGCCACCTCCCCTGCACATGGCTGGCCATGCCTGCTGCATGGGCAGTGCTGACACTGGAGGGTGGCTCCTGCTCTGCTTCCTAAAACCACAGGACTCCAAGAACAAGGGACATTTAGAAGGGAAACTTGGCACACAGGTAGCACTGCAGGGTCCCAAAGTCTCTGGAGCTCACCATCAAGTTTGTGGCATTTTCCACCATGACATTAAGATGTTCTTCTCTGTAGTGAGGCAGAGTACTGGCATGGACAAGTGACAGAAATGTCTCCAAAGCAGGCACCATCCACCTTTCATTCTCAAGCCTGCAGTCTTTCCATCCCTGCTCGTGAGAGGCAGGCATGCCTACAGTCACCCTTAAGCCCCCACTCGGCAATCTGACTTCAGAACTTTCCAGAAGTTGTAAAACATCCTCTTGCAGGCCCCTTGGCTAACAGGCTTGTAGAGAAGGGAAGTAGGATTGGAGCTGTCTCCTGCCACAGAGCAGTCATCAGAGCTTCAAACACCTGAAAGGTGAGAAGAAAAGGGATTCACATTTAAAAATACCAAGTCACTTCGGCTACTATTGATTCCTAAATCAAAAAACTCAACTAAATAAACTGGGACTTACTGAATTAAAGCAGAACACGAAGCTCTGTGCTCTGAAGTGGAGTGAGAGCTGCTTTCTGCCTTACAGCCAATGCAGGAGCTGCCAACAGCTTTCTACCTGCCTGACTTGTGCTATCTCAAGAAGAAAAGCAGTAGTGTCCCTCGTTTGCATGTCCATCTCTGTTAATTGGTGACAAGCACGACCAGTCGCCCCAGCAGCCCCTCCGAGGTGCAGAGCACAGCGGTGCTCCCACAGCACCACTGTTATTCTGGGAGTCAGCCTCGATGGGAAGCAGAAACCTGTACCAAGAAAACCTGCAATTGGTAAAGTAGATTTTTTTCTGCCCTGTTTGATTCCAGCCACAGGGTGCTATGGAACAGCAGCTCTTTGTATTGCAAGTATCTTTCAGGCTGCTTCCTTCTCACTGAGTATATTCCACAGAGCTGTTCTTTGCAGTCAAAAACACAGACAAACATGGATTACAATGAAAATATTTGAATGAGCTTTGATGAAGCTGTGGAACTAGAAAACACCATCGTAACAGCTGGGATCCCTGCACTGAAAGGACACACTGTTAACTGAAGTAAATATGTTGCTATGAATTTCTGACTTAATTGACAGAACATTTTATAGTGTGAACTTCAAAATCTCATTAGGAATGAATCAGAACATGGCTATGTGCCTGTAACATTTTCAATGCCAACATATAGTCAGGCCTGCTTGGAGTTGATATCATTTCTTGATCAAGCAGCTGAGAGATTCCAATGTAATTCAGTGCAATCAATTATAATGCTTCATGCCAATACGTAAAACTAAATTGGATTAACAGAAATACCATCACGAAATTGTGGTCTGACAGACAAATCCCAGCATTTTTAGTGGCTCTTAGTTCACAGCCATCCCTGACATGCCTAAGCTAAAGAAATAAAGGCATTTTCCTGCTAACGTTGAGATGTGAGGTGCCCGAGAGGCCAGCTAGGCTGCACAGGAGGATCTCTGTGTGATTGAAGGGCTCTGTCAGTAACTCCTTCTGCCCCACGAGGACACTACATTTTGGCACTTGACTACATTACCCCTGTCATACTCATTCTTATTATGGAGGTACGACTTAATTCTCGTCAGCTTCAGAGATAATATTACAAAACTAAGCATAATTAAAATATCTTCCAGACATTTAATGCCTGCCTGTTCCTGCTCAGTGTGTGGCCACACATTACTGACAGAGCAGCACCCATAAATCTCCCAGCCGAGGCACAGCCACTGCTGACTGCCCAAACTCCCAGCTCAGCTCCTTGCCCTGGCAAAGGCAGGCTGGGCTGTTGGGATGCACAGCATGGCAGCCTTCTGGGGAGCACGCTTCACCCTCGGACCAGCCTGCCCTCCTCAGGAAAGGGTGGTCTCCTGAGCCAGGAGAAACTTGGAAAGCTGGAGTTTGAAGGGACTACCTTTACAGAAGTCAATTAACTGGGAACACCTAGCACTAGCACCCTCATCTGAAAGCTAGTTACCAGTTGTTTCAGTAAGATGACTGATGAGGGTCTGGTGAATCTTTCGTGAGAGATTTAGGAGGTAAAAAATTCCATTGTATATGGTTGGTTGCCTCTTTCAGTCAAAGAAGTGTCTTAAGAAATTACTGAATTGTTTGAAACAAACTCAAGCTGTCCACCACTTTCTCAGGACCACTGCTTAACTAATTTATTACATTTGGAGAACTGACCTTTTGATGCTTGGGAGACCTGTGAGCTGGCACAGTCTCCCTGATGCAGTACCCCAAGAAAGCAGGACTGAGGGCTACAGCAACAACACGCCAGACTTCTCTGCTTTCCCACTGCCAGGCTGGAGCTGCACAGGTCACACAACCTTGGCTGGATCTCAAAGTGACCCCCAAAAGCCAAGGGTGAAAAACATCAGTTCATATAGCCAGGTTTATTCATTCACTGTTTCCTTCTGAGCTAAAGGGATGCCTGGGAGCTGAGGCAATCCCTTAATATCTGCTTAGCCCACAAGTACACAAATTAAAATATCTGACAGACTGCTAATGAGCTGATGTTGGAATGACTGGGTAGTCTGTTATCATTTGGCCATTCACAGTTTCCTCACAGCCCATCTGCGAGCCAGCCAGGCAGCTACAGCCTTCCTCCATTTACACCTTTTGCCATTATCGGCCTTTGGGAAAGGCCTTCAGCAATTAAAGTTTGTATCAAACATATTGTCATCTTTCCCACCCTGTTACTAGCCCCTCTGTGCTACTACAAAAGGTCTGCTTAACAGAAGGCTGGAGCCGTAGCTATTTTGTACACACTTCTGTACCTGAGCCCCATGTTTGTGCTCCAGCCTGGCAGCTTAGCTCACATACTGCATCAGATGCTCAACACTGCCCTGGCAGCTCACAGCTCTCTTCCTGGGCAAAACCCACCAAACTAAATCCTAACACATCTGGGCTACTTTGTGAAAGACTTCCTGGTATTAGCCAAAGGTTATATACATATACTCTTTTGTTTTGAGGTCAAAAAAGAGAGAACCACAAGATAACCGGTTTGGGCTATTGGAAAGGAAGTGTCTTGCCTGCAGGTAGTGCAGGTCCCAAAGGACTAGGATTGCTGGGAGGACAGATGCAAACTGAGGACAAGTGCTGTATGCTCCTACTTGCTCTGCTGAAGTGCCAAGACCCCAAGGAGAGCCAGCACATGAGGAAATGCACAGGGCAGAACTTCTGCAGAGGCACCTGTGCCACTGCAAGTGTGTACACATCAGCTGTCTCATGCACATCCATCAGCTGGGAGGCAAAACTCTGTAAGTGGGCCCAGTGCCTTCAACCAGCTGCATCTTAAAAATTCCCAGTTCGTAAGAAGATCTGCATTGACTGTGGTTTCCCGCAGGCACTGCAGTCCTCAGGGTTGTAATTCTGTCCACCTAAATAAGGTGAAAAAAGGAAAGTAAACAGATTGAGTGTTATATGACAGTTCTGTATGGTGGCAACTTGTTTGGCTTCTTTGACTAATGACTTTCCCCACACAATCACTCACATCAGGCAAATAAAGCACAAAAACAGAAGATCAATCCCTGATGAAACAAGTCCTTTTTTCCTCTTCAGCTTAGAAAGTCGGTGGTAGTGGTGGAAGGTGCTTCCAGGCAGCTCGAACTTGCATGAGAGGCAGAGAAGTGCAGACATCCCTGACCTTGTTTGGCAGCATTACAAAAGGTCCTATTTTCAGATGGAGGATCTGATCTCAAAATATCCTCTAGTGTAATGAGTACAAACAAGGCTTTCATCTGTCTGTCTCAGCCATGTGTCTATTTGCTTTCTCTGGTTTTTACTGCAGGGAACAGCCTTGTGATGGTTGCAGAAAGCAGAAGGAAGCTGAGCAGTGTCACACCTCTGCACCAGCACGGTACCAGCGTCACTGGATCAAAACCACAAACCAAAGTGCTCTGCTCAGCCACGGTGCAGCAAGAACCAAACCACTGCCAGCTCTTCTGTGCACCTCCAGCTGTCTGCCTGGTTCACGACGCTCAGGCATAGCCCTGACGGGAGAGGAGAGTCTGTAACATTGCTCCAACCTGGGAATATGCAGGCTGTGGCCAGCAGAGTTCATGGAGGGAGATGAGGGCAAATTTCCTGATATCACAAAGAGCTCCTTAGAGAGCCAAAGCAGGGTTCACTGCTTTGGCACCTCCTCTAGCTTGCCTGAGTACCACCCAGCACGCCCGTGGCAGTGCCAGAGCTGCCAGCACAGCACACACAGCACAGTGGAAGGCTGGTGGCACTGCTGGTGGCACTGCCGGTGGCCAGCACGGTGCTGCACAAAGCCAGGCTCTGCTGGGGGCCACCAGTGGGGTGCTGAGGCAAAAACAACCAGTCACAGTGGGCTGGGAAAGGCTGAGGCCCCCAGGAGGAGCGGGCAGTTTCCATCACCTACAGATGTACCTCTGCTGGGCCATGGTGAGCCACCCTGGAGGTGCACAGCCTCTGCTCCACACCTCGGCACCCCCAAACCAAGACACCCCGCCAGCTCTTCAGAGCTGGTGCCTTCAACACAGCCAAGACAAGGGGCTTGGCAAGGAGCTGGGCAGGCAGACCAGTGAGCAGGTGACCCACAGAACCTCCTGGAAATATTTTGTGTACTCAGCACTCAACAGGAAAACCCCAACAAGCACAAAACATTCGTTCCTTATAAGAACGCACTGCAATATTCACTTTCCTTGTGATAAATAGATTATAGGATTTTTCCCTGTCTTCTTTTCTCCCCCCATTATCATTTAACCAGTTCTTAAATTACAAGTTACTAAGACTCCATTCGAGTGTTGCAGTTTTCATGTTGTGAATCTTGGGTTAAACAATTCTTTCTCAAATAAATACTCCTTTTTCAGTTTCTACTGATGCTTTTGTTGTTCACAGTAATCAAGTTCCCAGCTGGCTAACCTCTCACCTAACACAACGTCTTCATCTTTCATTTGAACAAAATTTATCATCCATAAGCAAAGACAGAAAATGTGTGAATGTCTAAAGCTTATGTAAATTAAGAGGCTCTGCACACTGGTCCTAAAAATAGTAGATAATAACAAGCATTTCTTCAGCATACTATAATTATGGGCCTGCTGTCATGTCTTGCATTGTCTATAAGGTCACCGTTGTATTATACAAAATTTACAGTATATTATCAGTTAAAAACACAATAATTAGCAAGCCCACGTCTTCCAGCTTCAGCACCAGTGATGAATGTTCACAAAAAGGAGGAAAAAAAAGGCATGTTGTTTACTTTATGTGGACAATACACACTTAAATTTAATCATCACTGTCTGCTATCCAGCGGGTGATATTCCTTTGCTATTATAACACTATTTGCCAAGATCAGACTACACCCTTGGGGTGAATTTGTCCTTAATGAAGGGACAAGGAGCCAAATCTTTCACTATCATATCACTGACATACACTTAGACATATTTCTTTAAACTTTATAATGCTGTATGACTTATTCTAAGATAATGTCTGGGTGAACATCTCAGGCATTATTTTGAGCACTATAATAAACCTTTAAACTTAACCTTCCAATTTTTCAACTCACAAAGTATGTGTATTGAGAGAATCTCTCCCATAATGTGAGTCTTTTTTTTGATTTCTTGAAAAATGGAATTTGAAGAAAGATGAGGGAAATTGCACCCAGACCACAAGTGCCACAGCTTCCAGCAAAGGCCCTCAAGAGGTTACTCAGTTTCCACATTGTCCCATCCAGCCACTTTAGATTTTTCTGGTTGTAGTGGCCAACCAGCAGGTGTGGCTGTTCCACCCTCACCAGCCACCATATCACCTGTGGTCATTCACAAAAGAGATCATCTAAAAAAAATCCTACCAAGAGATCAGAACTGGTGATCTTTACTCCTCAATGACCAGGAAAAAAAAAAAACAAAACCTTGGAAAAAGTTTATAATTTTCTCAGTGGAAAAAAAGAAGAGGACAGAAAGCTCTCTGTTAGAAATGAGCAAATAAAGCATTTCCAGACTGTGTATCTTTTGACTGCTGTTAAGTACCATTAAATAGGAAACACCAAAATGTTTCATTTCAACTTTTTCAGCAAACAAACAAGGTCTAGGAAATTCACAATCAGGAACTGACCAAAACATTATCCAGTGTAATTAAGAATTTTGCTATGGATGGAAGAATTTGCTAATTCCACTCACATCCTTTGCCCTGAACCCCTCTGCAGCCACTGTGGCAGGGATTACAAGTGCTGTGGGGAGCCAGCAGCTGCCAGGAGAGCCAGAGGAGGCCGAGCTCCAGCAGGCACTAACACTATCTTTCATGTCGTGCCAGTGAACCCAAGGCCCAGCTTGTAACAACACTGCCTCTGATTTCTAGGCCTGCCCTAAATTGCCTTTCTCCTGCCATATGTCACCCTCCCCAGGTCATGCTCTGATGGGCTGAGCTGAACTGGAGCTGGCAGAGCCCAGCACCAGCACAGGATGGGAGAGGATCCCTGCAGAGCCCTTGGGCACCAGCTGACAGGGCACTCACATCCCAAATAACACAAACCACATTCGGACCACGTTAGGAAGAGCGTGGTCACTGAGACCTCGACCTGGCAGGAGGATGAAGAAAAAAAAAGGTTTGCAACCCAGTGTTTTGTAAGTCTTGCCAGCAAGATTTGTGGTGAAGCCAGCACCCAACAGCCCACAGAGCTGGGATGTGATGTAGAACAGCCAGGCAGCATCACATCGGTACTGAAAAAGCATGCACCCAGCACAGACTTTGGGCTGGTACTGAGGCTCAGAGCAATGCTTAAGGACAGAGCAGGTCATACACAGGAACCTCATCCAAAACTGGCCTAAGTCTCACCAATAGCCTTCACACAGAAAACACCTTGTTAGAGCAAAAAAAATAGACTGGATAGGAAAATGCATAATCTTAAGATTCTTTGAGAACTTCCTCAGTTGCTGATGTCCCATAGGAGAAATTATTTAAAGGACCAGTCTGCCTGTGCAGCTCTTGGTGCTTCAGATGGTACAGCCTGCATGCAGAACCCAGTCTGAGCAGACAGAGCACCTCCTGCACCTCTTTCACACAGTCCTGCCACAAATGCCTGCTCAGGAAGTGCCAGGCTCTGCAAGCAAAGGCACAGCACCACCAGTGCCTTCTGGAACCCCACCAACACCAGGGAGAGTCTGCTTTGGTGCAGCCATAGACATAAGGATCTGGAGGTTTACATAAGTCCTAGCCATGTGGATTTGCACAGCTGATACCACAAGCACTCCCACCACATGCAACAGGCACCAGCACCATTACTCCAAACCTTATTAGCATTGCAGTATATGGTACACACTCACCCCAAACACAAGTTCTCCCTGCTCCTTCCCTGTGCCAGGTAGTGCATGATCAGAGACTTACAAATCTTGTGATTCAAAGATATGGGTGGTCCTCCAGGCTCTGTCTATGCTCATTCTCCAGCCTTCATGTTTTCATGAGACTGTTGCTACTGAGAAGGGAAGGCCTTGCCAGATGTGGTCCCCAACATACTCCCCAAAAGAGTTTTCTGGCTGCTTGCTGACAAAGGCACTTATTAAATAGCTGCTTCAATCTGAAAGCCAGTGATTGTTAATACAAAGAGGGGAAGTGAATCATCCAAAAGAGTAGTAAAAAACTGAACAAAAATAGAGTGAGCTTCATTGGACGTTTTGTAACTGGAGTCCAGCCTCAGCCCCCTTAAAATGAAGCAGATTTGTGTCATTCTGCTCTATGAAAGGACATGCAGCATGACCAGAGCAACAGGCATGGGCAGGGACCCCCAAGCACAGAGCTGGTGGGAAGCTGGGAATCCTGTCCACCTCCTCACAGGGTGAGTCTGCTGTAGCAGTGTGGCTTCAGCAGAAAGCCACACACAAGTTTGGGAGATCAATCTGTTCACTTTGGGTATTTCAGAACAGGAGGTGTGATGTCTTTGACACAAAGCTGCAAGTTCAGCATGGAAATATGAAACCCTCAAATAGGTCTTTTCTTTAGCATTATCTCACAAACACTTCAGCCTGCCTAGCTTTACATGAAAATAAAAGCCTGTGCAGTTAAGCAGAAAGCACTGTTTGGTACAGAGTGGATTTTAAGGCCAAACTTTAAGTGGCAGACACTGTGAAACTCCTGGCAAGAACCTTGCCATGTCCTCCAGCCCAGATTCCCTTTTCCTCTGATGGGATCATTGAAGATGGTCTCAGCCCAGGTGAGTACCAGACTCAAAGGCATTACCTGGAGTCAGGACAGGCTGCCCAAGGAGCGTTGCTTCAGAAGCAACAACCATGCAAGCTCAACACTGGAGGAGAGTAAAATGAGCATGCTGTACCCATGTCAGCTGCTGGCTGGAGATCCCTCCCTGACACCCTTCCCCAGAGGACTGCATGGATAAACACCCTCTACTTGAACAAGACCAGTAACAGCAAAATGGCTTGGTTGTCTCTAAAAAAAATCTAATAATGTGCATCAAGGGAGAGACCCATGGTCTGACAGACTTCTTTTTCCCCCAGAGTGAGACATAAAAACACATTTCAGTAGTAAGGAAGACACAGTTTGCATAGCTAGTTAATTATTATAAAGAGTAATACTTAAATATACTATTAAATTTTAGAACTCCATCCTTAAAGTATTAAGCATTTTGTGACTGTGGTGCAGTTAAACCACACTCTGAAAAATGCTTTGACTTGCTTTATAGGGAGGTAACGGGTCCTAATGAAATAAGGCATTCTACACAAAACTTACTCTACACAGTCCTCTATTATTCAACAAAAAACACAACACATCCTTTAGATTTAGCACAATATTTGCTTGAAAAATCTGACATTTACAGCCAGTGTTTGTATGTGAACAGGCAGCACTGCTGATCAGCAGGTGCTCAGGAAGGTTCTGTGTACCATGGGAGAGCAGGGAACTCACTGCTGCTTTTAAGAACAGAGGTTCCATTCCTGGCACAAATACAGAGGATAGTTTGAGAACTCCAGTGGCTGACAAGACACTGGATTATGGACTTCTCTGTAGCCCAGAGCCATGGAGAGAAACTGCTTTGATGCAGCTCTGGTAAACAGCAAAAGCCAAGTGGGAAGGTTCTTATGAAAAATGAAGGAGGAAAGAGCTGAGTTTATTACTAAGGATTTTTCCCACTATTATCATTTAGCCAATTAAGGTATTTATTTAACACTTGAAATTAACAAAACATTTTGTTTGAATATAGGAACATTTTAAAACCCCCTTTCTCACCTACCAATCCACTGCAGCACAGATGCCAGGCACCGAGGGTGAGGCCATATCCCAGCTCTGAGAGCCAGGGAGCCCTGGCAGGAGCTGGGGAGGGCTCGGTGCCACCGTGCCCTGCGGCACCTGCGGTGGCACTGGCAGGGCTGGCAGGGCCCGTGGGCTGGGCACAGCCCCACTGCTGCCTGTGCTGGCCAGGAGGATCCAGAGCCCTTCCCTCTGCCATGGCACCTGGGGCTCTGCTCCAGCGCCAGCCTCCAGCTCCTCCTCAGCACTGGCTCCTCTCCACGGGCTCAACATCTCTCATCCTATTCCTCCTGCCATGTGTTCCTGCTTTCTCTACTACATACACTTGTTCTTACAAAACCAAAGAGAAATGAAGCAAAGGGCTGCAAACTGAAAGCACATAGCAAAGATGTCTGAATTCAAAAAAGAGCAGCCTTTTTCATTTTTACTTTTTTGCTTCCCACACCCCTCACACTCCCAGTAGAGCACCATTCCCCAGCCAACCTGCTCAAGCCCACACCATACCGAGCACAGAGCCCAGACAGTCTTGCAGACCACACACTGAAGTCACCCAGGGAGTTTTTGAGAGCAGGCACTGGTGAAACAGCCATGACTTCAGTGAGAAACCCCAAATAGGTCAGAGTAACCATGCACCTGCCCATTTCTTTCCAATGAGGGGAGTCTGGAAAGGAAGATTGTATGCAGTTGTGCACAGTGAGGTGAGCTGAATCCCATCCTTTACCTAGTACTCGCCTGAGCAGGTCTGTGCACATCCAGCTACTCTGCAATGGTATCTAAGACCAGCAGTAGCTGATCCATGCCTGCAGAAGACAAGGAGTGTCAGACTGGAGGACAGCAAATCTTACCTCTGTCATTCAAGAAGCAGAACAAACTCTGGGACATTCAGAGCTTCCAGGTACTCAAGACACTCAGCTCACCTTCCCACTAGAGAAGCACTCAGCACTGCAGGTGCAGAGTGGTCAGCCCAAACAGGGCACCAGCAGCTGTGTAACCCCTCTGGACATCTCCCTTCCCTGCACAGTGTGTTGAACTGGACCTCCTCGAAGCATTGAAGACAGGGCAAGGGACAAGGTTGTATTCAAAAGAACAAGAGTATCAGATGACAGTATCAGCAACTAGATTGAAACCTGCTGTTCTGGAAACCCTGAGTTTCTTATGATACAAAAAAAATACAAATGTGACTGAAGACTGACCGGTGACCTCAGTGACACAAGAGGGGTTAAATTGCTGTCAGTAAATTAGGAAAATGGGGCTCCACAGCCTCCTCCAAAAGCTTGGAGTCTGTCCTCTCTCTGGGCTCTGGCCCACCTCCATGCTAACAGGGTGCAGCCAAGGCAGGAGACAGCAGCCCCGTGCCTCCCTGGAGTACAGGGGACACACACCCCAAATCATTTCTCCTGCCTGGATGCTGCAGTTGCAACAATTCTCTTGTAGCCACTACTCTGAAACTGTTAACCAGGCTTTGTCCATCCTTGGAAATGCAAGTTATTTTGAACAGTGGGGCCCAAGCCCCAGCAGCTCCTGAAAACACAAAGTCACCAAGCTGCTATTAAAAATATCCAGAGGGGCATTTGTGGACTGTGTGACCCAGCAGGGCTTTCGCATCTAGAAAACAGAAATGTTTTCTGTAGTTTAACAAGTTATTGAAAGGTCAATCCAAAAAGTATCTCGTAATAGAAGTATTCAGACATTTCTATTTCATCTCCTCTGTTGAGGGCAGTGTAGCTCAGCTTGTGGAGACTTACCTCAGGC